ACCGATATAGATATTATACCGCAAAGTGACGATCTCACTGATCATCACATGGTAACTTCTATAATACGCACTGCTGAAATTTGTCATGTTGCGCCACGTTATAGACCAGGCAGAACAATCCTTCCGACCACTATAGATAGATTCTCAAATAGCTTACCTGATCTATCTCAGCTGCTCAGTGAACCCAAACAAACAGATGAACTAGAGGAAATGACTAGCAGTTTGTGCACCATTTTCTCTAGTACATTAGATATTGTTGCACCAATTAGATCAAAAAAGGTTAGAGAGAAAACTAAAGCACCATGGTACAACAGTGCTACGCATGCTATCAAGAGAGAAACTCGTAACCTAGAGCGTAAATGGAAACAAACTAATTTAGAGGTCTTTAGAATCGCGTGGAAAGACAGTATGTCACGTTATAAAAAAGCTCTAAAAGCAGCCAGGGCTGAGCATCTCCGCAAACTAATAGAAAATCACCAAAATAATCCAAGGTTTTTATTTAACACCGTGGCTAGACTAACAAATAAACAGACATCACCCGAGCAAATTATTCCGTTACAGTATAGCTGTAATGATTTTATGAACTACTTCAATGAGAAAATAAAAAGCATCCGAAACACAATTGTAAATGTACAATCCTCTATGGTGTCTTATGATTCAGCCTCAATTATCGCCCCTCAAGAACAACTACACCGCTTTACAACTATAGGACAGGAAGAGCTAAATAAACTTATCATTGCATCTAAACCAACAACATGTTTATTAGATCCAATACCAACTAAATTTCTGAAAGAAGTGTTACCTGTAGTGGAAGAGCCTCTTCTTAATATTATTAACTCGTCTTTATCTTTAGGTCATGTTCCAAAAATATTCAAGCTGGCAGTAATAAAACCTCTCATTAAGAAACCGCAATTAGATCCAAATAACTTAGCAAATTACAGACCGATTTCAAATCTTCCATTTATGTCTAAAATACTAGAAAAGACTGTGTCCGCTCAATTGTGCTCTTTCATGCAAGAAAATGAGATATATGAAAAATTTCAGTCAGGATTCAGACCGCATCATAGCACAGAAACTGCGCTAGTTAAAATTACAAATGATTTACTTTTAGCTTCTGACCAAGGCTGTATCTCAATACTAGTTCTACTCGATCTTAGTGCTGCGTTTGACACTATCGATCATAAAATACTCTTGGATCGACTACAAAACTACACTGGTGTTCAGGGACAGGCATTAAGCTGGTTCAGATCGTATTTATCAGACCGTTACCATTTTGTTTGTTTAAATGGGGAAAAATCGAAGATAACGTCAGTAGACTATGGAGTGCCGCAAGGATCGGTGTTAGGCCCTCTGCTATTCTCAATATATATGCTGCCACTTGGTAATATTATAAGAAAACATGGAATTAATTTCCACTGTTATGCTGATGACACTCAATTATATATTTCATCACGGCCAGATGAAAACACTAACTCATCAAAATTGACAGAGTGTCTTAAAGATATAAAATGCTGGATGACGCATAATTTCCTGCTACTAAATCCAGATAAAACCGAGGTATTACTTGTTGGTCCAAAAAACTATCCACAAAACCACTTACAATACAACTTTAATATAGAAGGATGTCCTGTTACTTTATCCTCTACGGTAAAAGACCTGGGAGTTATACTAGACCACAACTTGTCTTTCGAAAATCATATTTCATATGTTACAAGAACGGCCTTTTTCCATCTTAGAAACATTGCTAAATTACGTAACATGCTATCTGTTTCCGATGCAGAAAAGTTAGTTCATGCATTCATGACCTCGAGACTAGATTACTGTAATGCTTTATTAGCCGGTTGTCCTGCATCCTCAATAAACAAGCTACAGTTAGTGCAAAATGCAGCCGCTAGAGTTCTTACTAGGTCAAGAAAATATGATCATATAACACCGATTCTATCATCTCTGCACTGGTTACCTATCAAGTTCCGTATCAATTACAAAGTACTATTACTGACCTATAAAGCCCTAAATGGTTTAGCTCCTGTGTATTTAATGGACCTTCTATCGCCCTACAATCCATCGCGTTCTTTAAGATCACTAAATTCGAGGCTTCTAGTCATTCCTAGGATATCTAAGTCCACTAAAGGAGGGAGGGCGTTCTCACATTTAGCTCCTAAACTCTGGAATAGCCTTCCTGATATTGTTCGAGGCTCAGACTCGCTGTCCCAGTTTAAAACTAGATTAAAGACGCATCTTTTTAGCCAAGCATTTACATAATGCTTACCTTTTATTATACTGCTGAATCAGATCAAATGCATTTAATACTATAAAACTTGAAGAGACTGTAGGTTATCTGTATAGGTTGCATAGTATTTGCAGTTATTACGTTCCTGTGTATATTGCGTGAATGACGGGTGGTTGGGCAGATATTGTGTTGCGGTAGGTAGTATGCCATACGGAACCGTTGTCCACTGAAACTGCCTATTCACGCACCAGTGGGGCTCGACAGCCTTAGTCAACGGGTTGGCGCGTATGGTTGGGTTGCGGAGAGATTGTGAGATTGTGGTTAGGTCTCAGCAGCAGGAGGGATGTAGAGGTCAGTAAGCTGGGCAGAGTTGAGTGGGGGACGGAGGGGGGTGATTTTGGGACGCAAGAGTCACTGTCTTCATGTTTTGTCTTTTACGCCTGTGTTATGGAAATCATCATTATGAACAGCAGCTACGCTAATTATTTTCCCTTTGCTTTTCTGCTGTTATCTCGGGACGCGAGTCCCGAGAAAATGGCGTTCGTCAGCTCCAGTTTGTATCCAGCCTCTCACGGAGACTTCAGATGCTCCAATCACAAAGCCTATGAAGTGACGACTCAACACGGGCGATATGGACTCTCTATGGTGGACGGCACTGATCCTCAACAACTCGTCTTAAGACCGGCGTGCATACTTGGACTTCCAAAAAATACTCTAAATGTTCCGATCCAATCTGACTTGTAATGCTGCCCGAATCATGCACTGTTCTTCCGTTGGCCAGAGGAGAACTGGCCCCCCGACTGAGTCTGGTTTCTCCCAAGGTTTTTTTCTCCATTCTGTCACCTGATGGAGTTTTGGTTCCTTGCCACTGTTGCCTTGGATTTTGGCTTGCTTAGTTGGGGACATTTAACCCTCATGTGGTGTTCGGGTCAATTTGACCCGGAGAAGATTTTCTTTTTCCCGAAAATACTAGTTAATGTTATCGCTTTGGACTGCAACTTAGTGACTTTGTTCCCAAACGGTTTAACTAAATCTCAGGGTTTTTTTGAAAATTTTCTTATTTTTTTGTGGGAGTTTTGTTACCTTGTTACACTTGTGGTGTTCCCGGTCAAAAATGACCGGCCTATAAAAAATAGCTTATAAGTCACTCATTATACCATATTTTCACCCAATCTTGGATTCAATCTTTTTGTCAACTTGTTCTCTTTCAATTAGGACTGGTTTTATATTTCTGTTTGCATCTGATTAATCGGGGGCCTCATTTATCTGTGAGTGGGCATCTCATTTTTTGAGTAAAAAACAAATAATTTATGAGGAAATTTGGAAATATGAAAAAAAAAAAATGAAAAAAATGGACACTGTTGATCACACTAGTCTACTCTAATGTTTCACCAGGAATTTTGTTTTGAAACTTTTGTTTTGTAAAAAATATGGCACATAGTCACACTTGTGGTGTTCCCGGTCAAAAATGACCGGCCTATAAAAAATAGCTTATAAATCACTCATTATACCATATTTCAACCCAGTCTCATATAAAAATGTACCCTGACTACGTTGGTCCAAAGTGCAAAATGTAGAGGGGTTACAATAATGGCCCTTAAATTGTATGACTGTTACATTTTTTTGGCTTAGTCTTCTCCTATTGTTTTCCGTCAGAGTCACGTGACTTTCAAGATTCCTGCTGTGAGAACCAAAAACATGGCGGACATTTCTTTCATGTTTAGTGAAAAAAACTGTATTTTGAGTTAGTTTCTGCATAAAAATAAGTTTTGGTTACATTTCTAGCGAGAAATATATATTTTATTTTCATAATATCCACTCAGTGAGTGTACTTAATCACCTGTTTGCTCGTTATTGAGAATATTTTTCAGATCTCGCCAGAATAATGTGAAACTGTTACGTTTTGGTTGCTATTACATCGACGCTGCTATTTGACTTAAGTTTCTGCATAAAAATAAGTTTTGATTACATTTCTAGCGAGAAATTTAATTTAATTTTCATAATATCCACTCAGTGAGTGTACATAATCACCTGTTTGCTCGTTATTGAGAATATTTTTCAGATCTCGCCAGAATAATGTGAAACTGTTACGTTTGGTTGCTATAACATGGACTATTGGCATATTTTGACTTAGTTTCTGCATAAAAATAAGTTTTGGTTACATTTCTAGCGAGAAATATATATTTTATTTTCATAATATCCACTCAGTGAGTGTACATAATCACCTGTTTGCTCGTTATTGAGAATATTTTTCAGATCTCGCCAGAATAATGTGAAACTGTTACGTTTTGGTTGCTATTACATCGACGCTGCTATTTGACTTAAGTTTCTGCATAAAAATAAGTTTTGATTACATTTCTAGCGAGAAATATATATTTTATTTTCATAATATCCACTCAGTGAGTGTACATAATCACCTGTTTGCTCGTTATATTGAGAATATTTTTCAGATCTCGCCAGAATAGTGAAACTGTTACGTTTTGGTTGCTATTACATCGACGCTGCATATTTTGACTTAGTTTCTGCATAAAACAAGTTTTGATTACATTTCTAGCGAGAAATAGCCTATATATTTTATTTTCATAATATTCACTCAGTCAATGTACATAATCACTCGCTTGCTCGTTGTTGCGAATACTTTTAAGATCTCGCCAGAATAATGTGAAACTGAAACGTTTCTGGTTCAAGTTCACAGTAGGTGGCGGTAATGCGCGAAATCGATGCGAACCGCGAAGAAGAAGAAGAAGAAGAAGAAGAAGAAGAAGGCAGGAAAAGGTAAACGTTAACAAGGAGGAAAAGGAAGCGTGGATAACTTGACCAAGCTGAAAAAATGAATAACCTTGACCCAGAAGATGCCATATTCCTGGCTGATGCGTTCCTGGACGAGTGCAAGGTAAATAACATTATCTCAGTGGTGGAAAAAGCATACTAATTAATGCTAATTGCAAGGTCTAAGACCATAATAGACTCTGACTGAGGTATTGCAGGGAAGGTGCAAAATTAAAAAGCACTCCAAGCAAAGTGCAACTATACAGGTTCATTGTCTTTATTCAAATGCAAGCTATAGTGCTGAGCTGATTTCCTACGTTAGAGCCAGTGAGAGTTTAATTAAATATTATGTAAAAACGTTTCACTTTCTTTTTTTCTTCTTTTTTTATGTAGAAAAAGTTTTCTAGATCTGTCTGTACAGTACAGGACCACAACCGTTAGACTGAATTTTTACAATGTAATATTTATTATAACATTGGTTTTATAATGGGATTGTAGGTAGCGATAACCTTAGTGGGTGGAGGTTTATTCTGTGGCTCAATTGTTTATTTAGGTGGATCAGCATGGACACACTGAAGGAGGGTCAAAGCAATCCACAAAGCTGTGCGTTTGGCTTGATGAGGACAATGGTCAACCTCTGCCAAAAAGATGTAGAGCTGGGGAGAGACGAAAGCGAAATTCGGCTAACGTTACTGGTTGTTTTTTGTTTTTTTTTCATCAGTAGTTGCATTCATTATTCATTGAGCAAGTTCTAAATTGATATTCATATTTTTTCAGTTTCTTCAGCAAGCGTTCCCTCCTGTGCTCCATCTACCAGCACAACTGAGACACTACAAGACACTGTGACCATCAAAAATTTAGGTTTTTTTCCCTTTATACTTGTTTCCTCATTTGTTATGTGTTAATTGCCCAGATTTACCATTGCCTTCTTCCCTTTTCATTTTCAGACTCCCTCATTCAAGATGTCAGAGACCTCTTGGGAAGTGGTGCTGAAAAACCTCTCCCCTCACATTGGAGGGACAGGCAAACTTCCTCTCTGGAGAACTGGACAGTAATAAGGCCCCTCATGGTGAACAATATGTTAGCATCTGAGAAGCCGAAGGAGGGGGTTTGCCATCATTGTGGACACAAGGCTGCAGTAGTGATGTGTAGAGACTGTTTGCCACGATCACTCTACTGCACAGCCTGTGACCTTTCCACACATGAGGCCCTGGTGCTTCATAACAGAGCATCCATGGTGGAGGGGTTTTTCAGACACCTGCCGCCATCCACTTTTGTTCAGCAGGATGAAGGAGGGAAATTCTCCTATTATGAAAAAGGTATTTTTTAATTCTCAGGTTATATACACTCACCTAAAGGATTATTAGAAACACCACTTCAATTTCTCTTTAATGCAATTATCTAATCAACCAATCACATGGCAGTTGCTTCAATGCATTTAGGGGTGTGGTCCTGGTCAAGACAATCTCCTGAACTCCAAAAGCAATTTTGAGCGTGGCATGGTTGTTGGTGCCAGATGGGCCGGTCTGAGAATTTCACAATCTGCTCAGTTACTGGGATTTTCACACACAACCATTTCTAGGGTTTACAAAGAATGGTGTGAAAAGGGGAAAACATCCAGTATGCGGCAGTCCTGTGGGCGAAAATGCCTTGTTGATGATAGAGGTCAGAGGAGAACCGGGTACCACTCATCTCCACTACAAATAGGAAAAAGAGGCTACAATTTGCAAGAGCTCACCAAAATTGGACAGTTGAAGACTGGAAAAATGTTGCCTGGTCTGATGAGTCTCGATTTCTGTTGAGACATTCAGATGGTAGAGTCAGAATTTGGCGTAAACAGAATGAGAACATGGATCCATCATGCCTTGTTACCACTGTGCAGGCTGGTGGTGGTGGTGTAATGGTGTGGGGGATGTTTTCTTGGCACACTTTAGGCCCCTTAGTGCCAATTGGGCATTGTCTAAATGCCACGGCCTACCTGAGCATTAGTTCTGACCATATCCATCCCTTTATGGCCACCATGTCCATCCTCTGATGGCTACTTCCAGCAGGATAATGCAACGTCACAAAGCTCGAATCATTACAAATTGTTTTCTTGAACATGACAATGAGTTCACTGTACTAAAATGGCCCCCATAGTCACCAGATCTCAACCCAATAGAGCATCTTTGGGATGTGGTGGAACGGGAGCTTCGTGCCCTGGATTTGCATCCCACAAATCTCCATCAACTGCAAGATGTTATCCTATCAATATGGACCAACATTTCTAAAGAATGCTTTCAGCACCTTGTTGAATCAATGCCACGTAGAATTAAGGCAGTTCTGAAGGCAAAAGGGGGTCAAACACAGTATTAGTATGGTGTTCCTAATAATCCTTTAGGTGAGTGTAGGCTATTTTACATCTTACACGAACCCTGGTTTACTCCAACAAACATGCTGGATGAAGTTTTGTTTGATAGAAACAACACCCTTACTGTTTCATTTACACTAATATGTAAACTAATTCTGCTTTTTAGATTGCATGTTACCAATCGTTCCTCCCTGCTGCGACTGCTCCACTGGGCAAACAAGCTTTTCCAGGGGAAAGCCAGTTATTTTAGTTGGAATGAACGGTAACCTTTTTTATTTCTTCATATTGTGTTTTTTGTTTCTTGTGAACAATAGATAATTGTTTTTCTTTGAAATTTCAGGAAGATACAACCTTTTCCTTCCATCAGTAAACTGCTCCTGTGGAAAAACCTTGCCAGTAACCATGAGTGATCTGGTTGAAAGTGGTTACTGGCCAGCCACTGTCAATTTTGAGACCTTGTACATGGTGGACTTGTTCACCACGTATGAAGATCTTAAAATCACTGCCCCAGGGATGTCAAGACAAGCTTTTGTCAGCATGCTCGAGTGTCGTACAAAACTCTTTGGGCGAGTGAGTGGACTCATCATTTCTTATTTGGATTACGTTTTAAATAACTGATTCATTGTTAGGACTTGTTCTTACAATCCCCAAAGTTTCAGTACATATTTCTTGATGGAGCCCTTTCTTCGTCATGACCATAGTCGGAAGCCAACCTTTTTTTTTCCACTTTTGTTCTCAGAGTGGTAAGATATGTGGGGACACAATGCAGAGGGCCTTCCTCGAATGGGCCTATGCCAAATTTGAGGTTGACAAGCTGTCTCAGGTCCAGCATTTTCAGTGCCCTGCATGCACACCCTCCATGTTGGCAGTTGCAGTGGATGGGAACCGCAAATTATATCGTTTCAAAAGCCAACCAGGGTGTGTAACATTCAAGTACAAATTAAAAGGATCAAAATCAAAAGTACAAATCAAGTACAAATTACTTTTATACAATAAATTTTACCCACATCTACATCTATAGACCAAGACCTGATGGGTTTTTTGATGGAGTCTTTTTGGCCAGTGATGCTGAGGTGTCCTCCTTTGTTGATTACATCCATGGAAAAACTGGACATGTAAGCTAAATTTATATTTCTTCATGTGTAACACCACAATTTCACATTTTTATGAATGCTACCCCCCCCCCCCCCCCCTAAATTTAAACAATATTTAGTTTAATTAAGTGATAGAGCGGCATTACTCCATCAAATGCCATAATACCATGATTTACAGCTTACTGAATAAAATGTAACTGTGTAAATGTCTGTATTTGCCCTCATCTGTTTAAGAATCCAGGAAAAGGGAGATGTGGTGCGGGTCAGTGGACCGCAGCACGAGAGTCCGCCAACAAGTCTGCAAGCAAACTAGATGAGGAAGGTGTTGAATTGGCTGTCTGCCGTCATGGGGTTTTGCTGAAGGGACTGAATATGTTCCGTGGAGAAATTTTTGCATACCCATTTTATCTCCAGAAACAGCTAGCTTCACAGAACGTCCAGTTCTTTTGCTCTGATGTGGTCTGCAAATATTGGCCATATCTGGAGAGAGTTGTGGACCACTGTCCAGAGTTGGAGGACTTGCTGGATATGCGCCCATTTCTCTCCATCATGCATGCAAAAGCGCATTCATGGATGTGTGAGGTAATCATGACAATTAGATGTATTTCTTACCATTTGTACCACACGTTATGATTGTCTGTACTCTGCCCCTACTTGTTGTTTTCCAAATGATTACATTCATGTAAATGTGTTACAGTTAAAATGGGGGGGACGCAATCAAGAAGGAGCTGGAACAACAATCGGGGAGGAGGTTGAACAGGTTAACAGCTTCCTCTCCCGAGCAGCCATATGTTCCAAGTACATGTCAAAAGCCGGTAAGCATTTTTCATGTATAGTTGTGTCCAAATTGAGACCAAGGGGTTTGAACACTGATGCTCGGCCTTTGCATTTTAGAGTTCCATGCATAGGTGAAATGCATAAGTGAAAACAAGAAAATAAGTCTAGTCAGCTTACAGACACTGATCAGGATTCTCTTTATAATAATTTATCTTCTGATTCGTCAATTAAGTGTATGATTATTTCCAGGTTTATGTGACAATATTAGAGAATGATCAATGTAGTATCTGATCTTTGGTCCTCACTGTGAACCTAAATTACTGCACATTCATTGTGTGTCAAGTTCGCACAGACATGCTGACAATCCAGGCAAGTGGCTGGAACAAGCGAAAGGCAGAAAACCTTGACCGGACATTGGCCAAAAGATACGTCAAGGTACTTACTAGGCAAATATGCATAACAACATTTTTTTTTTTTAAATTGGCTTTATGCACAGCTGCACTACTTCCTGAACTTAAGCCAGCTCCTTGTTTCCTGTCTGACATTATTGGCCAAGCTTGATTAATTCAGGTGTGTCTGATTATTGTTGCCGTGACTACTGAGGTCAGGCACACCTGAACCAATCATTTTGTCCAATAATGGCAGGCAGGAAACAAGTAGCTGGCTTAAGTTCAGGAAGTAGTGCAGCTGTGCATAAAGCCAATTGTCTCAGCATTTGTCAACATGGACATTTCTTTTGGACAGACTGTACAAAGGATTGCAGAGGCAACAAAGGACCTAGAGAAACTCACAGCTGAGTTATCTCTACAGCAAGACACAGTCCAGCAGTGGGTGTCTGATGTTCAGGGGTGGACCTCAGGTAATTTGAAAAAATTATTTAATGGCATATTTTAAAGAATCATTGGCTCTGCTCTTGTACAGAGGATCTAAAGAGGCTGATTGTAAACTAAAATGGGCATTCATTTGTTTTTTGTCATACAAAGAAGCAACAATCCAAAATGACCTGCAGAGGACCATCGAGGGGCTATATTTGGGCATCAAACAGCGAAAATTTCAGCTGTATTGTCAGTCTGGTGAGAGCAGAAAAGGCAACTAGTAATGCAGATTTGTGAAAAAATGAATTCACTACTGATTTATACATAGTAAAAATAGCAAAGCCATTTATATATATAAAAAAAAAAACTTATGTTTACTACAAGTCAGGGCAGCATACTGAAAAACTGTCAAAATCATGATAA